AAAAGTTGAAAAGAAGATTCTATCCTTTCTAGAACAACTTATAGGAAACAGAGTGGCCATTTAGTGAAATTGAGACGGCCATTTGGTTATAAAAGTTTCCATTTCATTCAGAAATTGGAGAAGTGGTTCCGCGATGACTGAACAATCTGCAAATCCGTCGTCGTTTGGCAAGATGTTTCATCACTTATCAACGTCCTAATCACATAAATAATTTCCCAAATGAATTAATATTTTAGCATTATACATAGATGAAATGTAATGATATGTAATTATTCATTTTAAATGTGCCTTACTCTCGTGGACGAGACAACCAAAGAGAGCTAAGAGCTCTGAGCCGTCCGTAGTACTCTCCGATGACTAGAAAACACCGTGCGGCTTGTCGGACGGTCAAGATCCGACGCAGCTGGTGAACGGTCTGCTGTCTCAAGTTATCAGCCTTCATTGTAAAGTATAACAAGAGAGATGAGAAATAATTAATTAGTAACTACATATATATATTCAACATGTTCTCTTGATAGGATTGTAAAGAAAATAATAATGGCGCACCTACTACTTGGTGGGCTAATGAGTATTACAAAAGTCAATAACTTGTAATCACTATACGAAAAGGATAATCAATTTGATCCTAATGTCTGAAACCAAGAAATTAATATACTACGTATTTTATTAAGTTCAAAACAAAACTTTGAAAGAGATGGAGAATACTTTTAACAAATTCTCTTTGTTTTTTCAGCTATATATATATATAATAAATAAAAACAAGTTGGTGAAAGAAAATTGGCTCTTTGGAATAATTAAATTTAAGACCAAAAGAACATATACTATTATATGACATGAGGAAAGGTAATTGAAAAGACTTGGCCAATTGGACATAATCCAGAAACAGACAATACGTGAAAGCAACATTTGATCAAATTATTTAATTTTTTTCAATTATAAAAATTTAGCCAGCCCATACGTTTGTACAAATATGTACGCGAAATGTATGCACGTAATTGCTAGTTTTATAGCATTTCTACGTCTAGTATATTTGCTCTCAAAACACTATAATATATATGATGCATATTTTTAAAGATAAACATGATAATTTAGAAAGAAGAAATATATATAAACGCAAATGAAATGTGAAAAGAAAAAAAAAATCAAATAGGTGAGAAAATGGAACCTGGCGGATAAAGCCTTCGAGATTAGAGATCTTGCCGAGAGCAACGGCCATTTGTTGCATACCGTCCATGACGGGAGAGGCGGCGAGAGTATCGATAAGTGATTGTTGAAGTTGCTCGAGGCCTTGAGAGAGAGCCTCCTCTGCTTGTTGCGATGAGTGTTGTAAGCTATATATCCCCATTAGTTGTTGCTCCGTCAATAGATCCATTTGCGACACCAATATCTTACAAAACACACATCAATAATCTCTCATTTTTAGATTTGAGCTATAGTTAATAATACCCTTTCTCTAGCTAAACTTGTACTAATTGTTATGTTTGAGATTGGTTTTTACTTTTTCATCTTATACTTAGTTAATACAATTTTTTTTGTGTTCCGGTCACAATTTATTTTGCAAATTGTATACGAAAACCAAAAGAAAACCCTCATTTCGCTAATATATATTTTTAAGTATGTAAATAAATATTATTTTAGTTAACAAAAAAAAATCTACATGCATGCAAAACTAAACTTTACGAGACATAGAGACGAACCTTGATGAGGTCGGATGGACGGAAACCGGCCATCCAAATAAAACAGCGTTCGGCTGGGGACAACCATGTTCCGACGATGAGGTGAAAAACATCGGCTTTCGCGGCCACGGCTTTTAATCGGAATATCTCATCAAAGTGAGCTATGTAACCGTCAACGATCATCCTTAAATCATTGTCCGATAAATGAGCTTGAAGACCGGTTCGGATTTCCGACATATGCCGGTTATCATCCTCTAGCCATCTCCCATATTCCATGTCAAATATTGCAGCTCCTACGTACGTTCATTTTTTTCATACGTACAATATATTTGTTAATAGTAAATAATTATTGTTGTTGGGTCCAATTGTATTTTAACAAAATGAACAATATTGTAAATGGTGTTTTAGGTTTTAGACTAGTACCCGAAGTGATGTTAGGTCCTGGTGGACCACAACCACCCATGAACAGCCCCTACCATCGACATAAACAATTTATTAAATTCCAAATCTAACCAATTATCAATTACGAAATTAAACAATTGGGGTTTTGATATAATTAAATAACTAAAATTAATTAGTTAGCACAATAAGATTTATAAGAATATAATAATCAAGTGACAGAAAAAAAACCTGAGAACGAGCTCGTTGAAGTTCTTGCTCCAGTTGTGAAAGTTTTATCCTACTTGATTCTAGCTGTTGCACATAAGCCTGCTCAATCCATATATACATTTGTTATTTATATTAATCATACATATACAATAATACAACATTTATCTTGTTTCTCGTTATAATAATTGTGGTTTCCTAAAAAAGCAAAAAAGAAAGACTACGTATACTAATAGACAGTTATACTAATTATAGCGTGTGTTTGCTCAAAAAAGATAAAGCATTGTAATTTACTAATTATGTGCAACACAATATTATTTGGCGTGAAAAGTCATGGAATTGTTATGGTTACCTTTTTCCTAAGACGGCTTTTGCGAGCAGCTTCTCTATTTTGAGCCAAACGTCTCAATGTCTGAATCAATCCAGATTTAGGAGCATTTTTAAATGAGAAGTTAACTACTTAATTCGGAAAATAAGAACCCAAAATGACAC